CTCCGGCACCTCAGCCAGTTGGGTCTTCGGGTCAACTGGTAAAAGAGCAAACTCTCCCCGACGCAGAGGATCTCTTTTCTCAGTATGGAGCTGGATTCAGTCGAACAGACAGCACGCCTCACAGAGGAACTTGCGCGGTCGGTGCTGAACTGCTTGAATTCATTCAAGGGCAGTACAGCGGTCCCACTGAAACAATTTCAGAGGTTCCTGGGGCATGTGGCAGCTGTAGCGGCAGTTACACCGCTGGGGCTGCTTCATATGAGACCGCTTCAGCACTGGCTTCATGGCTGAGTCCCGAGGTGGACTGTCATGTAAATTGCCTAGAGTTGTTAGCGGTGTGCCTTGCCTTGAATCGTCTCAAAGGGCGCTTACGAGGCAGCATGTGCTGGTCCGAACGGACAACACGGCGACCGTTGCGTACATCAACCGACAAGGAGGTCTGCACTCCCGTCGCATGTCGCAACTCGCCTGCCAACTCCTCCTTTGAGTCTAAAGGTTCTGAGGTCACTTCGTGCCATTCACATTCCGGGTCTGCTCAACCGTATGGCCGACGAGCTGTCACAAGCTACGCTCCCAGGAGAATGGTGACTCCATCCCCAGATGGTCCAGCTGATTTGGAGACGTTTCCGAGCCGTTCAGGTAGACCTGTCTGCGTCTCCAGAGACTTTTCACTGCCAGTTGTTTTACTCCCTGACTGAAGGAACACTCGGCACGGATGCACTGGCACACAGCACTGTGCAAGATCAGGGAGGATGAGGAGCAGGTCCTGATCGTGGTGCCTTATTGGCCCACTCAGACCTGGTTCCCGGAACTAATGCTCCTCGTGACAGCCCCTCCTTAGCAGATTCCTCTGAAGAAGGATCTACTGACTCAGAGACAGGGCACCCTATGGCACCCGCATCCAGACCTCCGGAAACTTCATGTCTGGTCCCTGGATGGAACGCGGAGGTTCTAGTTGACCTACCCCAGGAGGTAATTGACACCATCACTTCGGCGAGAGCACCGTCTACGAGACCGGCAGACTTCTGCCATTTCCAAGAGGGTTATAATCACCTCTAATCTTCCATATGCACTTAAACGGTTGTTCATATGTATAAGTGCTTCCAGGAGGCTCACACAGGACACTGGAAGGGGCAGCATCCGTGGCGCTTTGGTAGGGATCCCAATTCGTCGGTCACCAACGTGACATCGAGAGTGACCGAGTGAAAGGGAATATCTCGGTTACGTATTGTAACCCTCGTTCCCTGATGGAGGGAATGGAGACGTGAGCCGAGCCCGTGACCCGGCCACTCAGCGGTGGTACAGCAGCTGTGGTGATGGGAAGTGACGTCTCCGTTCCCTCCTTCAGGGAACTAGGGTTACATACGTAACCAAGACGATATGCAGATTACAACTTTAATGTTCACACATTTAAGTTCTATAATACACTGATGTATACCAATTCGTCGGTCACTGACGTGACGTCTCCGTTCCCTCCTTCAGGGAACTAGGGTTACATACGTAACCGAGACGATATGCAGATCACAACTTTAATGTTCACACATTTAAGTTCTATAATACACTGATGTATACACAAATGCAAGAAACATTGAAACAGTAATTATTTGATTCAACACACTGGTTTAAATTTGTTTTTTTTTTGTAAGCAATCCCTTGTGAAAAAGAAGTATGCTTAATTGCATTTAATGTGCACTTGTAGTATACTTCAAATCTTAAAAGTATATTTAAAAAAGTACTTGCAGATTATTTAATTTAATTTTTATTAATGAAAAAAGGCCTAACGTGCACTCGTCCCTGTTTCTTAACATACTTTAGTACACTGTAAATTAAATGTTTCATATCATTGTTTCAATGTTCTTTTGTCATCATTTAAAGTTCACTTATGCTGATGTGTTGACTAACATCCTAAAGTACTATATTATAATTTTAACTGTGTATTATTTAACTGTGTTATTTAATATTATATTTAAAATCTATATATTTTAAATTGCAAAATTAAAAATATGTAATTACAAATATACTGTATTAAATACATTGCATACATGTTTCAATAAAATGGCATTAAAATATATTTTAGTTAACTACAAGGCTTATCAGCGCATTAGAAATTACACAATAACCATATTTCAAAGACAATAGAACTAATTATGAAAATAAGTCCTACGTTAGTGAGTCAAAAAAGCACTCTTAAGTTCAACTGTATTCATTATAAATGTATACTATATTTTATTTGAA